CTAGAATGAAAGATGCAGATTGTAGTTGCTGAGGAAGTGGATGAGTCTTGGCATTGGAAATCGCGACATGCATAGGTGCAGTGTCGTGCAAAAGCATACCTCCTAGCAGCTTGTGCAGTGGTGGTGTGGTAGGGGAAGTTCCCAGGTTAGTTTCTTCTCTCTTATGAAGACCAAAAAATTTTTATATGTGTTTCGAAAATAATTAATAACATCTAATGGAGTGAGAAAATAATGTTTTGCTCCCTGGCTTGGTATGTGTGTTGCCTGTGGAATGAACAGACATTACTGGGAAAACTGCCTGTGAGCAGCGGTGAGGTGGATTTCTTGTCTACGTGTTATGGTGTACTCAGATGTTGTTTGAAGAATTGCTGGCTTGGAGTAATGGTGACAGGGTTTGGTGTAACTTTTGTGTTTGTAAGGTACTTGAGATTGGTAAGTCAAAGGACAACAAAGGTTGTCTTTCACTGAGTATTGAGCTTATTTTAAGTAACAATGCATAGCCTACTAGTATAAACAGAGATCTCAATAGAAAATGTAGTAACTCTATCTTCTGTGTAATCTATTATATGACTAGAGTAAGTATCTAACTTGCTTTAGTGCTAATTTTAATTATAAGTAGGGCTGCAGAGTGTGAAGGAGTCTGTGTATTTATTCCACGGAGGAGACTTTCTTATGCAAGACCTTCACACAGTGAGAATCAATATCTTACAAGTTTTTTAGAGATCTTACATAAACCTTTTAAAAAAATGTTAATAGTACTTTGAGTTTAAAAAGAAGGATTACCTTGCATCCAAAATCTGTCTTCTGGCAAAAATTAGGTTGGAGAGAAATGCTTGAGAAAGCATTTAATATCCTACCTAACTTTATAGTGTTACATGCTGATCGTGTATTTCTGACTGGTTTCAATTATGATTTTCTTTCCCGAATCACAGTGCTTCACTTAGAATATTTTTGTTTTGTTGTAGTATAGTATCTAGCTGAGTTAAATGTCAGCACAATTTTTATTTTAGTGGTTTGGTTGCTTTTTAAAGGTAGCCACAATACTTTCCTCTGAATCCTTGATTTAAAAGAAGGGATTGGTGACGGTGTGGCTTACTCATTTCATCACCTGATGAAGGGACAGCTGATATGTCAGGGAAATGACTCCATAGTTCCTCTTCCTTAAAAAGTATGCAGTCTAGATAGGATAGAGCAGTGGAGCAAGTCATGGAGGAGTGTTGTTTGACTTTTAGACTTGTAGGTAAATATTTAAACCATGAGAACTAAGTGTGGGGTGAAGGGTGGGTGCAGGCGTGGGACCGTGACAGCTTCTGCCAGATCTGATCCAGTTCGAGTACTTTGTGTAAGTAAGCCTTTGTTCCTGCTGGCTGAGCATCCATGAGGAGAGGCCAGAAAAAGTCCTCAAGCCCCTCAAGATAACCACTGGGATGAGAAATTTTGCTGTGGATCTTTCCCTTTATTATATATAATGTCTGTTGTTTTTGTGCTCTGTCATTTCTGCCTTTACTCTGTGCATCTCAGTAATGGCTGTCATACTTCTTGCTTACCAAAAAAATTACTGAGTGATAGTGGGGAGAGATTAGGGCTTGGCAAAAAGTTGAAATTCGTGTAAGCAATAGAGATACTAAGTAGAAGTTTCTATTGCTTATTTACTTTTATTATCTGAAAAAAATCTTACCCTCTACAACGTTTATTTCTTGTCCAATATTAGAAGTTTCTGCAAAAGAAAAATACGCTGAACACTGTGGATGGTGTGCAGTAATTACAACACCTGCTTTACATCTTACTGTTTTTTAACCATTAAAGCTGCAAATTGAAAAATAAAGTGGTGTTCCTTTATTAATCTTCACACTTTTACCCTTGCTGAAAGAGCATAATTTTTCTGCGTCAAGTTGCTATTTATTGTGTTCAGTCATTCAGAGTGTTGTATTCTTGTTATTCTTGCCTATACTGTTATACTTAATAGATAGTGATTTAGCAGTCAGTTGTTCAGCCATGTTAAATTAGCCCTAGAGATAAAATTGGATAATGTCCGTGGTTGACTTTTTTTTCACTTCGGAAGGGGAAGGAAAATCAGTAGCATGCATTAGTAATAACCTGTTGAAATTCGCTTGTAAACAAGAAGCGCATCTTCACCTCAAGACTTGTTCCAAAATTGTATGATGGTTTAAAATCATTTTCTAATTCTCTCTTCCTCGTTGCCTACTAGTAAAATTGTTTACTACATTGGAAGAGGTGCATTTTGGACAAGAAAGAAGTTAAAACGTGCAGCTTCACTGTGTGTTCTAATGTTGGTGTTCAGAGCACTGTCCTTATCAGGAGTGAAATACATTTTCCTTCTATATCCATATGTGGAAAAATATTTCCTTACTGCTTCCTATCGTATGTGTTTATTTTTTGATAAGCATTATTTTTGACATTTCCATGAAGTAGGCAATTTTATTTTGAAAAAAATTGGGTTGTTTAATTTATAAAAGAAATACAATAGAATTGAAAAAAATACATGTGAGTTGGTAGAAATATTTGAAAGTAAAGCATTATTGCTGTACATCACATCTTTAATTAAGATACTAAAATGTTACATTTTTGTCCAGAAGCAGTTATGGTAACAGACCTCTTTCTGAGCTTTAATGGTGAAGGACTGATACAGCTTGTAAGGTACAGCCGTTACTGAGCCTTACTGCCACTGCTATGGTTAAATATGCATGTGCTTTTTGAAAGGGAGATCTCCTCTTGTCCTTAAATACACATCTAAAAAGAGTACATATGACACCTTTAACCACATTCCATAAAATAAAATATCTACCCCCTTTACATATGGCAAAAGGTAGGGTTTTACGCTGCGCAGCAGATGCTTCTGCAGAAATTTGGGGGCCTTGTGTGCCCATTGCTTGGGAAGGTCACCGTAACCGCTCTCCCGTTAATACTTCAGTGTTTCAGGGCAGAGATGCTAAGGTAAGCTGATGAGTTGCTCACACCGTAGGTTGTGAAAGGCTGAGGTGGCCTCTCTTGTGCTGTGAGAGCAAAGCATAGGTTTGGGTTCAACAGACCAAGGTGAAAAAATGTGGCTGCGTAGCGTAATGAGGGGAAAGCTTGTGTGCTCCTGGTGGGGTTACTGTCGCTGGCTCCTCTCAGGGAAATCTGCTAAGAGATAATTATGTTCTGCACCAACTGTTTCTGAGTGTCCGTCAAGCTTTTAACCCTTGGGAAGACTGAATTATGTGCTGGATGAAGATCACAAATCCATACATAGTTCTCAGCAGAATCCACACAATTGGTAAACCGGGAAGTCAGAATTAACGTTGATTATGAAGGGATTTCCGAGCAAATTGTTTTCCCTGCTGCCTTGCTTCAAGTTTCTCCCAGCACTCACATGCAATCCACTCGAAAAAGTTTTCTGACTCCTGCCATCATTTGGCTTCAAATCACCTAACCTCCCTCAAAAGATCTTGTAGAAGATACTCTAAATCTTGGACTGTTGTCACAGAAATCTGGAGATCTGTGTCATGTGAAGAGGCTGTGGGGTAGTCTGGACCTTCTTTATGGTCACATGATTATCACAGAGTTTTATATTCTTTCCTGATCACATATTTTTCAATATTAAAAACCTTTACTCAAAGTGGCTTTTAGAAAGTGGGATTTTATAAATTGTATTTTATTTGTGTGGAAAGAAATTTCTTCATTACCTTGTTTTGACCAGCAAATGTCTTTTTTTATGTATTCACATAAACAATACGCATTTTTTTCCTTCTCCAAAAATTTGCTGTACCATACTTGGCTATACTGCGCGATGCATCAGATGTACAAGTTGATTTCTAATGCATAAATAAATAAACGTTCATCATAAATATGTCTGAGGGAAAAAGAAAAAGAATTGAAGGGAGCCATTATTAGAGAACAATGAAGGTGACTTTGCTATTTTGGCTGCTACACCTGGGATAATCCCTTTCAGTGTTGCGCAAGATCCCAGCGTAATTCCAAGCAAATAGGCCTTGAACATCCACATACTGAAATCACTAAATAGGTTTCTATATTTAAGTTGGAACAATATTGCTTCTAATTTAAAACTCTCTTACTAGAGCACTCAGTGCTCGAAAAGTCAGGTTGAAGTTGAAGGAGAGCAAAACCCTCTTTGTTCTAGCTTTGTAACTACTACTCTGAACATAAAAGTTCCTGACGTTAAATTGTCATTCTTGTGGGCACATGTTAAGCAATTGGGGTCTTTCTGCTTCTTGTTTTTAAGATGAAATCTGAAACTCTTTATGTGCTAAAGACCAGCTAAGTCTCAGTTCTCTGTAGGGGTATACTGGAATTTTTTGATTAATCATGGCATTGATACCCATCTGGGTATAAGCCAGCTGAGTCCATAAGACTGTGGTGCTGCAAAAATATCTTTTTTT